ACTTGTCAGCCTGGCGGAAAACAAGCTCAGCAACATCACCCCTGTGACAACCCTCGCACAATCTTTCCCCGATATCCAATATCTGGACCTTTCTAAGAACGACATCAAGAATTCGCAGGCGATGATTGGATGGCGCTGGAAATTCCGCAACCTCATCTTCCTCGACCTAACTGAGAACCCGATTAGTTCCGACCCTACTTTCAAAGACACCATGCTCAAGTGGTATCCCAAGCTGCAAACTTTGAACAATGTTCAAGTGCGAACCCCAGAAGAGGTCGCAGCTCAGAAGAAGACCCCAATCCCGGTCTTGCCACCTCACTTCATTGACGACTCTCAAGTCGGCGAGAACTTCGTCCGTGCTTTCTTCCCTGGTTATGACAACGATCGCAACAGCCTCGTCACCTCTGTCTACGATGATCAATCCACTTTCTCACTAAATGTCAACACCACAGCTCCCCGGGCCGGTCAAACCGAGACAGGAGGTTGGGGTGAATACATCAGAAAGAGCCGAAATCTTGACAAGATTAGTCACCTTTCTGCACGCATGTCCCGCTCCTTCAAGGGTGTCGAGCAAATCCGCGAAGTTTTCAATGCGCTCCCACCCACTCGTCACCCAGACCTTGTTGCCAAAGCAGAACAATGGCTCTTTGAATGCCACCCGGTTCCCCATCTCCCCGACCCTACTGGACAGAGTCCCACTGGCGTTGGTGGCATCTCCCTTATGGTCCACGGACAGCTTGAGGAGAGCGTTGGCGGTAAAGTTGAGATCCGCAGCTTCGATCGAACTTTCATTATTGGCCCCGGTAACACCCCCGGTGGCATCCGAGTAGTCAGCGAGATTTTCTGCCTGCGTGCTTTCGGTGGACATGAGGCATGGTCCCCCGAGATCCAGGCACTTTCCCAGGCCCCCCAGGTTCCAGCTCCCGGTCCTGTTCCCACTGTGGCTCCTATAACCCCCTCTGCCGCTGCTGTCCCCGCAGCGGCCCCGACCGGCATCGTCGCTGAAGGATACGCGTTACCTCGACCCGGAAAGTCTGACACCCAGCTTCGGCAGGAGCAGATGGTCGCTGAAATGAGTGGCAAGTCGGGCATGACTTTCGAGTACTCAGAGATGGCCCTTGCAGGAAATGACTGGAATGTCGAGCTTGCTTGGAAGAACTTCGAACAGCTTAAGGTACGCTAATTCCACGGATATTCCCTCAATATACGATGGAATCATACTGACCCACTCTACAACAGGCGACAAACGCACTTCCTCCCACCGCTTTCTTCTGAGCACTTGCTCTTCGGTTGTTCCCTGGTTTCGTTGCAACCTTCCACGTCCACTCCCGTTTCGATTGTTGTTAGCTAGTCCTCGAGAGTGGTTACGTGAAAGCCTAATGCATATGATGTGACAATACCTTTTTTTTTACTTGCATGGCTTAGGCGAACGGCAATGGTTTGATGATTTCGAAATATGGACATGGGCCACTGGGCCAGGAATTTGATGAACAAAAACTAAAAATCTCCAAAAAAGCAATCAAATGAATGAATCAAGTGAATCATTTTCCACCCAAAATATAAATAGAAAAGTGTAGACTTGTTAATCTCAAGGGTTGTCTTTGTAAGTGCCTAAGAAATAGACCTGAGGATAGCGGCAGTTGCGGAAGATGCCAAGCTGGCGCGCTAGAGGCCATGCGGGCGGCGATCAACATCCCCCATTCAACTTCTCCCTCCCACGAATTCCCCATTGGCCTCACAAAAAGCAAGTTGAGACCAAGGGCAGGATGATTATGGTGAGCTGATGGGATGACGATCACTGCCACAACCACCGGCCATATGTCGCCAAACGAGGAACCAAGCCTCGACGCCTTGGATGCGGGTGCGGAACAATTGACCTCGCGTGCTCGTGCTGTTTATGCTAACATACAAGGTACATCCAGTGGACTACGATCCGATTGAACACTTGAATGCCGTTTTCTCCCATCCATCCACCCTCTCCTCCGTTTCTCAGATCGCCGACGCCCTGAACGAATGCGAAGATGAGCTGGACGATGACATCGGCATGCTAGTGGAGGAGCAGGTCACCTCCAATGCCGATAGCGTGGAACGAATCCAGGCGGCTAAGGCCGACCTGTCGGAGCTGTTTAAGAAGATCGATGACGTGCGTGAGCGCGCATTGAAGACCGAGCAGGCAATCACCGACATGACAGCCGACATCAAGCAATTGGACAACGCAAAGAAGAACCTCACACTATCGATGACGGCACTTAAGCGCCTGCAGATGTTGACTACGGCATATGACCAGCTCCAAGCTCTCAGTCGGACGCGGCAATATGGAGAATGTGCACAGCTACTCCAAGCTGTCATTCAGCTCATGGCCCATTTCAAGTCATACCGATCGATTGACCAAATTGCAATGCTCAGTCGGAATGTTGCGGACATACAACGCGACCTGCAAGAACAAGTGTGTGAGGATTTCGAGCTGGCCTTCGCCAAGGGCGAGGTAGGCTCGAAGCGCGCGATGCTCGCGGAGTCGTGTCAAGTCGCAGATGCTCTGGGAGAACACGCACGATCCCGGCTGGTGACTTGGTATTGCAATACGCAGCTTCGTGAGTACCGGCAGGTCTTCCGGAACAATGAGGAAGCTGGATCATTGGACAATATCTCCCGCCGATATTCATGGTTCCGGCGCATATTGAAGATATATGACGAAGAGAATGCGGCCATCTTCCCGGCTTCGTGGAGAGTAAATGAGGTCTTGGCAAATGTCTTCTGTGAGGGTACACGAGAGGATTTCAAGGGTATTTTATCTCGATCTGTACGAAGCGGGCAGACTATCGATGTCAATTTGCTCCTTTCGTGCTTGCAAGAGACACTTGATTTCGAGCATTCTCTTGAGCGCCGCTTCGCCCCTTCATCGCGTGCATCCGTTGATACATTCGCCTCCGCCGAACCGCCTGTATTCAACCAATCAATTTCCGAGGCCTTCGAGCCATATCTCAGTGTCTGGGTCGAGGCTCAAGACAAGCAACTCGCAGCCCTGATACCGAAGTACCGCCAACAACCTCTCAAAGTACCGGACGAGGAATTCAACTCGCATATTGTGATTTCATCCTCCACTGAGCTTTTCACTTTCTATCGTCACGCTTTGCAACAATGTGCAAAGCTTTCAACTGGTGGCAGTTTGGCGGAGCTAGCCAAAGTGTTCGCCAAATACCTGGACCAATATGCCCAGCAGGTCCTTCTCAATTATATAAGTGAACGACCAACACTTCACACGCCGTCTAGAGTGCCCTCGGTGGAAGATTACATCTCGGTTTTGAACACTGCTGATTACTGCTACACGACTTGTTCCCAATTGGAGGAGAAGATCAGAGGTAGATTGGATGAGAACCTGAAGCAATCCGTGGATCTGCAAAGTCAGGCAGACTCTTTCATGGGTATTGCATCCGCTGCTGTACGAGGTCTTGTGCGCCAAGTCGAAGTCGATCTCGAGCCTTCCTGGCGCGAAATGCGCAACACACCTTGGGCTAAAATTGAGGCGGTCAGTGATCAGAGCTCGTATGTAGGCGAAATGCTCTCCCAGACGAAGGAGAAAGCAACTGGGATTTTACAGTTGTTGCATAAGCAGCAATATGCGCGTGCCTTCTCCGATCATCTGGTGGAACTCATTTCAAGCCAGTTCATTAGCAATGTGTTCCAATGCAGGCCTCTTTCAGAAACTGGCGCAGAACAGGTATGATGTCCCCCTCGGGGATGTAGTTGTATGTCTCACTAACTCCGTTCATAGATGCTTCTCGATTCCTATACTCTCAAGAGCGGCCTTTCATCCCTATTACCGGCTCCAGCCCCCGCCGGTTTCGTCAAACGTGTGAATAGCAGCTTCTTCAAGATCGAAACTCTCCTCAAAACCCTCCAGGTCCGGCCGTCGCCACCGGAAGCTCTTGTGCAAGCATACCTCATCCACATTGCCGACCGCAACAACAACAACTTCCGCAAAATCCTCGAACTCAAAGGCATCCGCAGCCGCCAAGATCAAAATCACCTTGTTGAGCTATTCCAACTTCACCGCGCATCAGACCGCTATGCATCCAGCCTACAGCAGAGCAACCCAATCCTCGCCTCTCTTCAAGGGCCATCTGCCACCGCCACGGGCTCAGTATCCCAAGGACTAGGTCTAGGCAGCGCCACCGCAGCCATGCCCTCCCGTTTTGATGCCTCTATGCTCGGCTCTGCCATCATGTCCGCTGCCAAAGACGGCGTTGATCGCTTTGGAAACCCCAGTCTGAGCACTCTGGGTGCTGGTGTGTCTGGCTCTACTGGGACAGCTACATCTGCATCTGGCGTGACCAGCCCATCAGGCGCCTTATCCCCTTCCCTGACCAGCTCCACCCTACAATCTAATTCCATACACACCCCAACAGAAAGCGCCACAGGTAATCTCAATGAAAACCTGAAGAACATTGGCAAGTTCTTCCGCCGCGACCTCGGCGGTTTTGGGGGCCGGTTTGGCCGGAGTACTGAGGATGGGGCGTAAAGCATCCCCATCTATTTTCATTATATCTTATTTCTTTCTGGTTATATCTTGACTCGAGCGTGGATACATCGTTGTAGAAATTTCCTTGGCCGTTTCGGTTGATTTGTTCGGGTCATTGCATACTCGAAGGTCTAGTTTATGTATGGTCTGGGCACCCTGTCTCGACCTCATTTTTTGCCGTTGTATACCACTTGGATTGAATGCATTGAATGCGATATCCGTGTTATCTTGGATCTAATTCGTTTATATTTTTCTACTGCACATACTAAAATCTGAATCTATCGCCTGGCGTGGATCAATTTTCTTCGAAAATATTCTCCTTCAATCCACGCCCTTCCAATGACATGTCGCGATAAGAAAAGGGACCATGTACATCCATGGATGTGTGCAATAAAATACATCTATATCGACTTTCTCCCGTCACCTAAAATCACTTTCTTTCTCTAGTCCAAGATAACCCCAACCCATTCAAACATCCACTATGAATCCCGAAACCCCCCAAGAACCCGAATCCCCGGGATATACCCTCCGCACGCACCGACCAGGGGATATAGGCTGGATAATTCACCGCCACGCAACACTCTACGAGAAAGAATACGGCTGGGGCACAAAAATGGAAGCTCTAGTATGCAAAGTGGGCGCCGAATTCCTCGACAACTACGACGCATCTACAGACCGGTGCTGGATCGCCGAGCGCAACGACGAGTTCCTCGGCTGTATAGTTCTGGTCCGAGACAGAGAGCTCGTCAACACAGCCAAGTTGCGTCTTTTACTTGTTGAACCTAGCGCGCGGGGTCTTGGGCTCGGCCGTGCTTTGATCGAGCAGTGTACGCGGTTTGCGCGCGAGACGGGGTATGCTCGGATTCGGCTTTGGACGCAGAATGTGCTTGTTTCGGCTAGGAGGTTGTATTCGAAGGAGGGGTATCGGCTTGTTAGCTCTGAGGATCATGGGGTTTTTGGTGAAGGACATTTTGGGGAGTGTTGGGAGTTAGTTTTGTGAGGGGTATATCTGTCTCCGAAAAGGGAAGGTGGGTCTATATACATATATGCTTATGCTGATACCTGAGTACTTTCTCTTTTTCTTCTTTTTCTTCTTTTTCTTCTTTGTTGCCTTCGTATTTGAATGTTATCTTGAGATTAGCATTATGTGAATAAGCCTTAATGAGCTTCGGAGGTGTGTACGATGTGCCGATGTATCAAGTAACAATAAGGTAGTTAAATGAGTCAACCCTATGTTGGGCTAATGCTCACGTGGCATGGAATTTGTATAGAGTTGAGGCATATCCCAGACAATATCATTGCGGTCACTGTGTCGTGTTGTTTATGCGGGCCAGCTGTTGTGGTGCCTGACAGGCACCAACACACTCAGGTAGTTAACTAAGCTAACTAGTAGTCGGCAGAGCACCCCTCCATAGAAATCAACACTCTCCTTCCACACTTCCAGACTCCTAAACACCAGCCAACGTGATTATAAAGAACAAACATTATCTTGCAAGTGCCTGTATTACTTCTTGCTCCTCTTACAAGAAAGAGCTTTCTCAAATTGTCAATATTGCTTTTCTGCATTAGTCACATTCCAAATGGAGAGTGACTTCGGGAGGTAGGTAATTCATGACAAACTTGTTATGATCTCGATCTAAGACTCTTAGATATATTTCTTCCTCCTTGTTCACCTTCGTAATTGGTGACGAGAAGAAGGAAATGACCGTCCATTCTGCTGCATTTGCAGGGCTTTCCCAAAGTCTGAATGTACTTATAAACGGTGACATGGCCGAAGCAAAAACAAGCCGCGTTGACTGGCCAGAGGTTGACGTTGACACATTCGCTCGGTTATGTGAATTTGCCTATTGCCGAAACTACACGCCCCCATCATTTTGTCTGATAGACGGAAACCCTCCTCACTCAAATGCGGAGCAGCATGAGTGTAAGTCTGGGCTCAGGCCTGATTTTGACATTGACTGAAGAACCCCCCAAGACCAAACTCGCCCACTCAAGAACAATCATCGTGAAACCCCACATAAGCTAGGAAGCGCATGGACTAAGCAGTTGAAAAACGCATTTGCCGAGAGCCTCGTCGTGCCCAGCCTGCAAAGTTTTGACTCGGACCTTACTTTCACACCATCTCAAAATAACAGGCCTTGCGAAGACTTCACACCTGTATTTCTCGAACAAACCAAACTCTATGTCATTGCCGACATGTATGGCATAGAACGGTTGCGCGAGACGGTCCTTTTCAAGTTGTATCAAACGCTGAGGAACTTCAAACTATATGAAACGGGAGTGAGTAGTATTGTTGGGTTTCTTCGATTCGTCTACTTGAACACACCACCAAATTACAACGGTAAGCTCGACGCCCTGAGGAACTTGGCGACACGTTATATTGTTTCTATTGTTGGACAAATCGGTAAAAATGAATGTTTCCAGGAGCTTTTGGAAGAAGGGGGTCCTTTCGTCTCTGATTTCTGGAATATCATTTGGAGTGTTTCGTGAAGTGTCATTGCGGTGTTGTGTGACTTCACTGCAGGGATTGTAGAATTGATACCTTCAAATGTCAGGCTTCGCTTAATCAAGTTATGAACTTCTTGCTGCCATACTCCCAATGCTCAAGCATCATCTATACCCCAATGTTATCGAAGTAAAGCTCCCGCAGAGTTGTCCTTCGGTCTATCAGCCCAACTACTGACAACTCACCCACCATTCAAATCATGGCCGTCTTTCTCGCCTACCACATCAATCGGTGCTAACCAGTGGTGTCCATTATGATTGGTTTTGGTGTGTCAATACCCTTTCTCATGTGGACGTACAGTAGGCTCAGAGACAAGGGGGAGCAGAGGGCAAAGGGGAAAGTACTCCTGGCTTTAACGCTTTTCAAGATGTGGTTTTGCAAATACACGGTATTTTACAAAAAAGGCATGTGACCGTACATAAGTCCGATCAAAATGTCCTAAAGTGCAAATGTCTCAATTAGTTTAGTTCTTTTATCATTTTCTATAAGAGAGAGAGAGAGAGACTAAAAAGATAATTTGATACACAGTATGCCTGTAAGCTGGTAGAAGATGAAGCCGAGGACCTGGCATACAGTGTGTACACATTAGGGATCGGCTTACCTGGAACTTCCATAAAATGTTTGAATTACAAATCTCTGAGACTTGAGCTTAATCTTCCAAATGCTTGACCTCCAGGGGTTCAATTCCTAATCAGGATCGGGGTTACATTCAAATGTTGGCTAGCGCCCTTTGATTTAAATGAGCGGTCGCATGATTCGCTCCCCTACAACTACTCAGTATGCTTGAAGAGACCTCTCCACTGCTTGGTGGACAGCAGAAAATCACGAGATGGTCCTCAATCTACTGGTTGTCCGCGGTCGTCTTCTGTCTGTCCGCTTCGGGGGCTTTGCTCAATGTACCTCTAACACAACTAATCGAGGACAACATCTGCAGCCGATATGCTCAAGGCGCCCCAACTGAAGAGCTGTGCAAGTCGGATAAAATCCAGTCCAAGTTGGCTTATCTCAATGGCTGCCTTCCCCTAGTGGAGGCCGTAGTTGGTACATCCTACGAGCAATTGTTTACCAAGCTGCCGGACACTGACCGGTTGCTCTAGGTCTTCTTGTGGCATTTCCATTTGGAGTTCTAGCTGACAGGTGAGGGCGAGCTTTGAATTGGCTTGAAAGGAATAAAAACTCACTTATTTCTAGAATCGGTCGGAAACCCATCATTGTCCTGTCAATGATTGGAACCTCACTCACCTTGGCCTGGGAATTAGCTGTAATTGCGTTGCCTAGCATCGTCCCGGTTCAGTTCATCCTGGCGGGTCCATTGTTTGCTATCATTGGTGGTGGAAATACAGTGCTCATCGCCAATCTGTACTCGATCGCATCCGATTTGGTAGTTCAATCAGACCGGTATGCTCTAACAGACACCCCTCTCGATAAAGAGCATGATATCTAACACATATGAAAAGAGCATCTACATTCTTCCTTATGGCATTCGCCAGTCTAGTTGGTGCCTCTGTTGGGCCAGCTGTTTCCTCTATCTTTATGGAAATATTCTCACCTTGGATTTCAACCTTAATCGCCTTCTTCACCAACCTAGCCGCTCTAATACCGCTCTTATTCGTACCCGAGACATTGTCACCACCAAAGCAAGACTCCAACTCCGAGCAAGACGCCGAGTCAGAAGAAGGGCGTCAGAGCTTCCGATCGTGTCTATCTCAGTCCCTTCACCTCGGCTCTTCCATCGCATCCCTAAAGTCTACTTCCCTGATTCTCGTCTTGGCCACCTTTCTCACAGCCGCACCCGAGGTCCTAGGTACTTCCCAATTTTTGGCACAGTACATTAGCAAGCGGTTTGGCTGGCCTCTGTCCAAAACGGGCTATCTTTTGACCCTCCGCGGGATCATCCATATGGGAATTCTGCTCTTTACACTTCCTCTACTCTCCAAGATACTTTTGCGATACGACCGTGCGCCTGTCAAGGACTTGGTGCTCGCCCGTGCCTCAGTTGCAATTGCCGCTGTCGGAGCACTCTTTATGGCTGGGTCACGGATAGGGTTGGTGGTCACTGGGCTAGCGGTCCATAGCCTGGGATCGGGTCTGGCTCCGCTGTGTCGTTCGCTAGCAACCAGCTATGTGGCACCGCAGGACACATCCAAATTGAATACGGCCATCGGTATAGTTACGACGACAGGGTCTTTATTCGCTGGGCCTGCTCTCGCGTGGTTGTTTGAGACGGGAATGAAACTCGGGGGTACAGCCCTTGGGCTGCCGTATTATGGTCTAGCAGGCTCGTTTGTTTTGTGTCTGGTGGGCCTGATATTTGTTCATCCCCCTGCGCAGGAAGAGGAGACCGGCGAATCTTAGTTGTATTGTTATCTACTTGAGGATAAGGCCAAAAATGGGATCAGCATTATAGGCGATTCTTGTACATGGGCAATGCCAGTATTGAGCATTTAGTCTTACACTGGGAGACTCTAAATAAACTAAATAACTATAAAGCCAAACTGACTGACTCCCACAATGTTTTAAGCTTCTCAGCCTCGACCTCCTCATAGTGACGTCATATACTACGAAAAATGCTTAAACAGCCCCAGAGCTTTAAGATGCAACACAATCAACAAATACCCATCATTCGCCTAACGCAGAAAACATAGAATGCGACACGAGAGGTCTCAAGATACCCATCCACACCAGCCCTTCGCGCATGTCCAATTGCCTGTACCACCCTTGCCATCTCATATTCATCATACGAGCCATGAGGATGACAGTGAGACAGAAGATCTTGAGATCCCTCACAGCTTCAATAAATTACTCAATATTGTGTCTCAGTGGGGACGGTTGACACCTGAAAGTGAAGGTCCTCATTTAAGAACAACCTTGTCAGGTCAAGGTTCTCCAAGATTTACGACAGTTTCTCATCCACAAGAGACAGCTATGGATCAGGCGCAAATAATTACAGAGACCAACAACAAAACAGAGGGAGAATCGCAGATATCGTTTGGAGGTGATTATGGGAAATTTAACAAAGTTCTCCATTACGAGGGCTACAATACTGTTGAATTATACGAAAAGAAAGTACCGGTTCATAGTCAAACCACATCGCCAGCAAAATTCCCGCACAGCCACATTCTGGAGAGAGTGAGGCGAAGTTTTGCATCCGATGCAATCAAGGAACTCTATGCAGTCAAAGTGTATCGCCACGTCAAAATCACGCTATCTCCGCCAGCCAGACTGCTTCAAAATCAAAGTCGAACTGTCTCCCTACGCCACCCTAATATTGTTCTGATCATCGACATTCTCTATAATAGGCATAGGAATCTCTGCATTATCATGCCGTACTACGCTGGCGGCACCTTACACTCTTTTATTTCACAAGAGAGGAAACCGTGCGAAAAACCGATCATCGAGGAGTTGGACTGTTTAACTATACAAATCATACGGGCAGTGGCCTTTCTACATGAAAATGACATTGCCCATGGCGACCTGAGGCCAGAACATATACTCCTCACGGCCCATGGCGCAGTGAAAGTGGGTGGCTTTGGTGAAGACGAAGATGCAGTTCGAGGACTAGCCGAGCTATTACATAGCGGTAATCTCCCATCATCCTTTTCGGTACCAAACCCTGACTCAACCCTAGAGCCTGAAGATAAGCCAAACCTGTGCATTCGGAGAAGGATCTCGGAGTCCAGTATTCCTTATCTTCCCCCGGAGAGATTTTCTGATCGCCATGGCTCTCATCCTCAGAGCTATACCCATGAAGATGTCTCTGATCTCAAACCGGGAGATATATGGGCATGCGGCATAATCTGCATGCTACTTCGATCTCGCCGGTTCCTCTGGCACAGCGCGCAGATAGTTAATCCTGACAAATCCTTTGCCAATTACCTCCACTATCGTCTAGAGGAAGGCGGGTATGGTCCCATACAGGTTCTTGAAAATGTAAGTTCTATATATCGCCTATTTCTAGTGAGACTAGGAATGAGAAAATAAATCTAACTCGCAATTCAAAAGCATTACCGAAATGTGATTTACGCAATGTTACATCCCGACTTGTGGCCGAGGATTACTGCAGAGGAGGTCTTAAGATCTGAATGGGCCCTCGGAGTTGCAGTTTGTGAGATTGGGGAAATGGGGTCTTGATCGAAATTCTGGGATTTAAATGCGATAGATCTTCCTAGGGTGTCTCCTTGGCCCATTAAGATCTGAAATATTTAACAAAACCGAATCTACGTCCAGTCTATTGTCTGTCTATATTCAATACTCATCACAAATCTAGTTCTGCCCGGAGCCTTCTTTATTATATTTTCTACTTATTTAGGCTTCGAGTCAACGATCGACTACTCTCACTATCAATCTCCAAATAATTCCTGGATGATAGCTTTGAACCGATAACAGACCCTCTCTTACTGTGAGGAGTCCTTTGCAGTTCGAATTCGGGCTCATTTGCCGATCTCTTTTGAAGTCCCTGCCACGACGGCCCAGTTGATCCGGGTTCTGATGCAGCGTTCTTTGACCTTTGCCTCTGACCCTTCAGCAGTCCGTATAGGACGGGCGCGTTGGCTACAATAGCGGCGGCGAGTAACTCGACGGATGCCCAAGTCGTTCTGTTTACTTGTACAGTGGAATTTTTGGCGTTTTGGGGTAGCCTAGCCAGGGTGATTGCGACAATGAAGAGGCCGACAGCGAAGAGGATCGCTAGTTGGATTTTTCTAGAGATAATGTGTCAATGAGATGCATATAGATAGGTAGATCTGGTCCAGCTTACTCGATAGCGGATCTTTTAACCATAACCAGAATTGGAATCGGCAACGCGATAAGCATAATATCTGTGATTACATTGAGGACACCTGAGACTACAATGTTAGAGGTATCACATTGAAATGGGTATCAAGAAGGCATACCGAGGACGATCAATTGGAGCTGTGCCTGGGCGCATGTGCCTGCATTATGTTAGAAGGTTCAAGTAATACAAACAATAAGGGCAGGGAATACCAGGATCCGGTAATACGATCCAGTAATGATTGAATGGATCGCACTCGGTGAAAGTCACAATCTGTACGATAAGATACGTCGCTGCGAATATACCGATATATGAGATCATCGTCACCTTCTCCCAGGGAAGGTGCGTGAGCAGTCTGCGGTAGGTATCAAGTAAAACTGACTTTTGCAGCCAAAGACTAAAGGCATTGTGAGAAAGGGGCATAGGAAAACTATGGATTCCATTTAACCTCAGGACGTACTAGGAATTATAGAATACTCGATTGGCGAGCACGAATTTGCTCGCGATCTCTCTGCGACGGATCTCCTCGGCAGTGAAATCGTGTGTCTGTCTGAACTTGGTTGACATATTGTTGGTTCCCCAGATGAGAATGACGTGTACCAAGCCGAGGCGCACGAGGGCACAGAGAATTGCGCCCATTGCGAAATAATCGCCCAGGACGAACGGGAATCCTTTCAACTTCCGTACCAGCAGCCTAAGGACAATTAAGCCGACTGTCACCCAGGTAAATACCCAAAGAATGATGAGAGTGGACTCCATGGCCGTTGGGATCTCAGGAAGAAAGGAAGCAATGAAAAGGAGTGACGGAAGCCAGAGACGGTGACGAACTACTCTGTATATCCAAAGGTAATGGTCGTTCCAATCATTTTTCAGTTTCAGAAAAGATCTAATTTACCTTTTTAGAGGACCCTAGAAGAGGCCCATGCGACTGAAAAGGTTTACTTGGCAAAGTATGCGGGTCATTTCTCCATTTTTGTTCCATTTTTGTTCGATGATGCTTCCACAGATGTTGTTCCCCGTGGGGCCAATCGAGATGAAACCTTGGAAATGCCCCCACCAGCGGAGGAAATTCGGTAAAATCATCTTAGACAGAGCATAAATTGACCCCCTAACAAACTTTATTCTTGTTTCGACCCCTATCCTCTCAAGATGCATCTGAAGACAGGGTTATTCTTGATCTGCGCAATTGTCGCAGCTTCAGGCTGGTGCAGCGAGGTGCCAGCCCAACGATCATACCTGTACGTGGGAGGACAATATATCCTGAATAGTGCTGGTCAACATGTCTTCGCGGATCAGATGTATGTGGAAAAGCTTACCCCGGCTGCGGGTGTGACCAAGCCATATCCAATTGTCTTCATCCATGGACAAGCTCAAACAGGAACCGTACGTATCGTTGAAGAAACCACTTCTCCCCTTTACCAGAGGTTAACAGTGGTACTGGCAGAATTGGCTCAACAAGCCTGATGGAGGAGAAGGCTGGGCCTCTTACTTCCTTTCTGAGGGATATGCATGCTACATTATCGATCAAACCTTCCGCGGTCGCAGTGCCTGGTTCCCTGGAAATGGGACGATGAGCACCTACAGTGCCGAGCTATTGCAGCAGCGCTTCACCGCACCAAAGCTGTACAACCTCTGGCCGCAGGCGGCCCTACACACCCAATGGAACGGAACGGGCGTCATGGGCGACCGAAACTTCGACACATACTATTCCTCAACAGTCGAGTTCCTCAGCTCAGCAACTTACCAGCAATCAACCGTGCAGGCCGCCGGCGCCGCCCTGCTCGACACCATTGGATCCCCCGTCATCCTCCTAGCTCACTCCCAGGGCGGAGCCATGCCATGGCTCATTGCAGATGTGCGACCGAAACTCGTCCACTCCATCATCTCGATCGAACCCACCGGCCCTCCCTTCCAGGACGCGGTCTTCAGCAATTCCTCCGCACGCGCCTACGGGCTTACCGATATCCCCATAACCTACTCGCCCGCTGTGAGCGATCCAACTGACCTCGTGAAACACGTTATCCCTTCCAACTCGTCGATGTACTCCGACTGTGTAATCCAGGCTGATTCTCCCGCACCGAGACAGCTTGTTAATCTCGCCAAGGTGCCCGTCCTGGTCCTGACGACTGAATCGTCTTACCATGCGCCGTATGACTGGTGCACGGTCCGGTTCCTGCAACAGGCAGGTGTCCCCGCGCAACATCTCCAGCTTGCTGATATCGGTATTCATGGAAATGGACATATGGTGTTCATGGAGAAAAACAGTTTGCAAGTCGCTGCTGTTCTGCAGCGGTGGATGGAGCTGAAGTAATTTGTAGGATATAACACTTTGATTGTTTGAACAAAGCTGAATCTTCAATTATTTTCCTTCGTTACACTGCCTGGTCTCGATAAAAGCATATGGTTCTTCTGGGGCTCAGAGTTCGAGGTAAGAGCTTATGTCTCCACTTCATATTCAGGATTCTGAAGTTCTCTTTGTACTACGTCTTCTGTGGCGTCTATTTCTTCCACCCTTTGCTCTAGGCTTCCTTAATCAAGTTGGGTGAGTAATTGTTGAGGCTGCTGTAGGTTCCTTATTGGGAAATGGCCGTACTTCTCGAGTATTTGGAAACTTCCCACCATCTTTGGATATCGGAGAATGAAGTCAGATATCTTGAGTTAACTATTTTGTATCTAGTCAGACAATAAGCCAGACGGTGAGCACCCTGGCTGTCCAGAAATGTGATATTGAGGCTCTGCGGTTCGGCGCTCGGACTAAAGCCCTATCAAGTCAGACCACGACACTTTCGATACTCAGCTCAGAACTGTGCGCATAATAGGCTGGAACATCAGATGCAGCCACAGCATGTTACAAATCAATGGAAATCCCTGTGTAGCCGCTAACATTATGTCTTATTAAAGGCTAAATAAGCAGAGAAAGAGTAACTCTTCAATCATGGTACATATAACGTTCCGTCGGTTTCGCTGCGGCCCGCCCTAGCTCAGCCATAGTTAGTGCGCGCAGGGGGCTTACCACACAAGTACAAACGAATAGGGGGCCAGAATGTAAAGGTGTTTGACAATTTCTCCACTGATAAGGTCCTAGTGCTCAACCTTAGGACCGAGACCGGTCCATGTAGAGGCCTATTCCGGATGGATTAGAGCAGTAGGGCGGTGGGCCCACGGATGTGCTGTCCTTTTTAACCCCGCTCTATTCATTATCTGCCATCTCAGGGGATATCGTCGCGCTGTGGGAATCCTAGCACTGATACACCATACCACAGCAAAGCTCCTGATGGCTTTCTCTCTCATGGCCGTTGTAGCTTCAGATGCTGAGTGCTTAATTCGAGAATGTGACTTCCCTGCTATGAAAGACCATCCCATCCGTCTTACAATGTTCCCTCGTTCTTGTCCCGAGACAGAGGAAGAAGAAATCAGGTGGATGGCAAACGGCTTCAGGCATGCTTTGGAAAAAGACAGTTCTAATTACCGCAAAGTTTGCACTGATGATGGGACTCCCGTGGGATTTGCTGGCTGGTCACTCCTTAATAGGAGCGCTGCCCGAGATGAGAATAGTCAGGGGGGCGAGACTAGGGTACAAAACCCCTAACCCAGAGACCTTAGATATGGATACTATTTCAAAAGTTTCGAAAATGTTCAAAGAAGAACAAGATCGGATATTAGATGGCCGCTTGGATATCTGGTGTAAGATTGTTTCGTTCCTTTTGTATAATCTGTGCTCACCCTTTTCTAGGCCTCAGCGTCGTTGCTGTGAATCCAGCGTATCAGCGTCAGGGTATCGGCTCTATGCTAATGCGATGGGCATGCGATGAAGCTGATAAAAATGGGAGAGATGGTTATTTGCTAGCGTCACCGGCTGGGGTTAAATTATACGAAACATTCGGCTTCAAGAAAGTAGGGGAGGTGAGGACAGCGAAAGGGTCGCTTCACTCGATGTTCAGGAAGACACAAAACTGATGTTAGAAACTGGATTACAAGTTGGCACTGGCCCCCGGAAAAAAAGATATGCATGGTCTTACATAGTATTAAAAGGCTCATTTTACAAAGTGCAGTTCAACCCCGGGAAATAGAGATGTGAATTTTGTGTAGTATGAACATTCATTTCACCCGTCCTACTTAATGCTTGCATAATCAGGGTACATTGCTTATTAAGGGGTCTGTAGCTCGGGCATGATCCTACGCTAATAGGGCGCGGAAGTAGGTAGCGAACTGGTATTACCTTCACGTACCAGTTTGAAGGTATTATTGTGTCCTTAATTAATCAAATAAAATGATTCATTGAGCTTAGGGCATCGGGATTTATATATAATTCTTCTACAATATGTTTCGAGATGTGTTTTTACATGTTTTCGTTCAACGCTGGTCAGCTTGTTTTACTATATTTAATTCGATGGCGTTTTGGTGGAGCATTTGATTAGTAGGTTAAGTGGGGTGCGTAGCTCAGTAGTTTACGTAGCTCGGTGGTGAAATACGTTACATATAGGTATTGGTGGGTTTACTCGATACAACATGAGTATTACGAAAAGGAAGAGTTCGGAGAACGATTTTTCATTGAGCAACCATCTATTACGGCAGCTGCACAAATAGAGATAGCGAGCAGGATTTCCGACAGCCTCCCAACTACAAAATTGTCTACGGCGACAACATATCGGCACTACTATCGCAGGTCATATGAAGGGCACCTGTAATCTTGTCACAAGTTAGCAATTGTTTGCAAATTGAAGAGTCAAAAATCCAAGTCAAAAGCATGTGTGAGGGTAAGGGCATGGCGTCATCAAAAAATTAGAGTGTTGTTGTTGCATTATTTTAATCTTCAGAGCGCCCCGGAGGGGGGCGTAAATGCTCGGGGTTAAAAATTTATAATCATCCGCCAGGGTGATGTGAGGTGATGTGGAAAAGGGGGAGAGGAAAAAGGGGGCGGGAAATTGAAAACTCACCAATTCTGTGGAAACGAACAATGGGCGTAGCTACGTCCATCATACGAGTCCTAGGTTTCCGAGGGAAATCCATTGCCAAGACATGTTGTTTCATTCCCAGTCGCTATTTCAAGCGCCGGTTCAAGTAAATCTAATACATGGCATTCGCATCCCATCGAGGAAGCGCTTAGTCGAAGAGACCGAAGCCCATGTCCTCATCGGACTCCTCCTCCTCCTCAGCGGGAGCGGCGGCGGCAGGGGCGTCACCGCCGGAAGTAGCGGCGGCGGCGGCAGGGGCAGCAGAGGCGTACGCATCGGGGTTAGCGATGCGGTCCTTGAGCTCATCGATCTCAGCCCAGCTGTAGTCGGTGCTGATGGCAGCAGCGAGGACCTTCTTGTATCCGTTGATGAGGGAGTGGATAACGGAGGGAAGGGTGGGGTAGTTGGCAGCCAGGGAGACAGCGGTGATGGTGGAGATAGCCTGGGAGAAGGCGGCCAAGAGCTGCTCATCGGTGATGTCGAGAACATCGGCGCCGAAGCACTGACCGTTCTCGTAGACCTGGGTGATGGCCATACCGTAGGTGAACGGAGAGATGTTCAGCAAGTTAAGGAGGGTAGCCTCGGAGGCACCGACCTTGTTGCCAGCCTCAACGAGCTTGAGGTCGGAAACAATCTCAATGGTACCACGAGCAATCTTGGTGGGGACACCGAGAGCCTGGAAGAAGGCGGTCTTACCGGGCTCCATACCAGTGTTACCAGCGGGAATCCAGACATCATCGGGAGCGATGGCACCGGCACGAGCGGGAGCAGCGACACGGTTGGCAAGGATCTTCTCCTTGGTGGACTTGAGGTCACCGTTGGTGAAGATGAAACCAACGTTGCCACGGACGTGGGGAAGGAGACGCTCCCACTCGGGGTTCTCAGTGACGAAACCCTTGAGGGCACGACGAACCATGGTGTTCTTACCCATCAGGACGACGGCCTCGCCACGGAGGGACATACGGATCTCGTGCATCTGCTGAGAGCTGACATTGTCAACGCCAACGATGAAGATGGTGCTGTACTCATTGAGACTGTAGTTTAAAAAAAAAAAATTGTTAGAAATTTGGAATCTTGTCAATTGCGAAGCGCCATTGAGGGGGAACTAACAGAGTACGCAGCTTCTCGAAGTAAGCGGTCTTGGTTGCGGACTTGCCCCCCATTTCTTCTTGATTTCGGTGAAGATAGGTTGTTTAAGGGAAAGTCTGTTGTTGTGGTGGTGAATGGAAGAGAAGAAAAGAAGAGCTTCGCGATTTTGGGAAAATCAATTTTGGTGGTGCGCTCGCTAGTGGATCACGTGACGTAAAGTAGACCCGCCCAAGATGGACAGAGATGGCCGGAATTCGATCAAAGGGATCCTAGGAGCCCTTACTTCTGCTATTTGTTGTCCTATTGGCTACAATTAGTACACAGTTGGCATATTTGTGAGCTCGTTAATTGTTCCCACTCTGTGGATCAAAGCACTTCATCATGGCTGGTCTCCAACACCCGTTCCAGTGTCTGCGATATGTCAACAGGCAGTCAGTGGGCCAATCGGATATCCTTATTGCTACTGCTGGTCGCAATCTCTACTCTTACGATGCGTCCAGTGGTCAGCGCCTGGATGTGTGGCCTCAACCCGTAGACGCCAATGTGGAGGATAATGCGGAGGATAAAAGCTCTGACGCAACTCCCGCATCTGAAAGCCAAGGCCCGCCAGAAAAGCGAAGGAAGCTGTCTTCGACCTCTGAGGAACAGAAGGATGCCAAGTCTGAGTCAACCCCTAAGGATTCGAAGAAAGAAGCTTCCAACTCCTGGACCAACATTCCTCTCGTGACTGTTGCCCACAGCAAATATGTAGTGATCATGACCTCTGAGGACAAATGTGTCCGAGTCCTGAGTTTGGACAACGAAGGCAAACTCAAGCAATTGAGTGCTCGGTGAGTGACTATTTTTTTCTATATGCAAGCTCGTCAAACTCATCATTTATAGTACAATGCCCAAGAAGCTCTCTGCGCTTACTCTGACTCCCGATGAGAACAACATCTTGACGGGTGACAAATTCGGAGATGTGTACACTTTCCCACTAATTCCGAGCGGAGAATACGTGAGGGTCCAGGCCCCAGCGAAAGCATATGAGCCTTCTGCCACAAATCTCACGGTGCACACAAAACGCAACCTTGAATCATTGGAGCAACAGATGCGACAGGCCGCTCTGTCGAAGACCAACCAAGCAGAACGAGTTGTGCTGAACTTTGAACACCAAGTCATTATCGGTCACGTTTCGTTGTTGACTGAATTGATCTCCGTTACCCGACCTGCAGACTCTACCGTTGGCAAGCGAAATTACATCCTAACTGCGGATCGTGATGAGCACATCCGTGTCTCTCGTGGTGTTCCCCAAGCGCATGTAATTGAGCAGTTCTGCTTTGGCCACACTTCGTTTGTTAGCAGTCTGTGCGTCCCTTCGTTTGAACCCAAGGTTCTCGTCTCCGGTGGTGGCGACAACTACCTGCTTGTGTGGGACTGGCTCGAGAATCAGATCTTACAGAAAGTTCAGCTTCCTGGGGCGGAAGGAGAGACTACGGTGCGCGGCATTTGGGATGTTTCTCTTGAGTCTACCGCAGACAATGTCGATCCTGTGAAGGCTATCTTTGTCGCACTTGAAGGGTACGTTCCAATAACCATTGATGATATCTATTTCTCCTAACATTGAGGGCAGGTCTTCACAACTTCTTTACTACACCCTCGAAAGCGACAATACGATAACTCACCAAGATACCCTCCAGCTTTCAGGAAACGTTCTTGGGCTGGTTGGCCTTGACTCAAGAGGCTCTATTCTTGTTGCTGTGGATACTTTGCGGCAATCCGATTCGACAAGTGCCTGGAAGTCGTCTTCCCAACCTCCTCTTGAAGCCTTCCGCCTCAGCTCTGGAAAGTGGGCTCCTGTAGAAGACTCGATGGTCATCAAAATCAACTCTGAAGGCACCTCAAACATCCCTACGGCAATAGAGGAGAAACAGCAGAAAGAGCTCAATGACTCGATGTACAATTTGGGCAACCTGCGCAAGAGAGGTGACTACGACGAATAAAAGCACGCTTTTGATGAATTTACAGCAGATGATCAATTAGAATTTCAAATATATATATAATCCAGCAGTCTCCATTTTAATTCGTCCAAGGCAAAAATAAAAATAAAAATAACCAAGAAAAATTGATGACTGTGAAATTCACATCCCGATCAATATATATATATTTCGAGAAATCTTCCTGCTCCACCCTTTTCAACCACATCTTCCGTCTCTTTTGACCTCTACTACGAAGAAAGAAAATATGTCAAATATGAAACAGACCCGAGCCGAGGAACCTTTCGAAATAGATACCGAACCCAGGGATATAAAAGTTGATTTATTTATGAGCACCATGGAAGGGCCTTGACATGCTGAGACATTATTAATTCATCACGGTAGCATAGATCTGCTGAGGATCTCCCAAGAATGATCCTATCCAATCGGACCCAATTCGTAGTTCTTAGTTAGACTTACTGTGGTTAGAAGCATACCACGGAGTAGAGCACCTCTTAAGCTCTCGGAGACACCGGCGACTCGGCGTTTGATTTACGGGGTAACTCTACCCAGGTAGGGCTACATATCATAACAACATAATTTTCTTGACCGATAGTAGGATTCCTCGGTGAGAAGTCCTAGTAAATGTAAAAGGGCGGTTAGGCCAACGTCTAAGTTGTTTAAGGGAGACAATGTGTGTTGGTGATGTTCATAGCTAAACACACAAATATGTTATCGAGTTGACAACTCAAATTTCAGCTATATTTCAATTGACACAAAATACCTAATTATCGCAAATAACAACAACAACACTAATAATAATAAGAAACCTCGGAAAGAAAAGGCAGGTTTATGAATGTACGGGTATAAAAGATTGCCACTGTGTTTTCCGATAGTCACGGGCCGCGGCACCCGGAGAACCTTGTTATAATCCCACTTCTTCCCCTCCATCCCACTT